TTTGTTCTTGAAGGGGATTATTGGTGGGTATAGGGGTATTGCTTGGTTGTTTGTGTTTTTTTTTCGTGTTCCTGTTAATACACACATACCTTTTAATAAAGGGCTGTTATTTTTCCCTTTTCCATAATTTGTTTTCCTTCAATCGGAGCCTCTTAATTTCGGATTTATAATTGCTTAGAAAAGGAAGTTCGGGTCTTTTTCTCCTAATCCATCCTCAGCAAAAGACCTTTGTCTCATTTAAACTGGGACAATTTCTTCACAAAAAGGATTGTCCAGCCTTGGCACAGTTGCCCAGGGCAGTGGTGGAGCCCCCATTCCTGGAGGGATTCAAAAGCCTTGTGGACGTGGCACTTGGGGACAGGGGTCAGTGGTGGCCTTGACAGTGTTGAGGGATGATCTCAGAGGGGCTTTCCAACCTTAAAAAGTCTGTGAAGATCCCTGTGGGTGACCTGTGAGCACTAGAAAGAGGACAAGGTGACACAGAACTGCTGGTGTTCATTCAGTCTGTCATTCCTTAGGGAGAGAACAGTGCTGATGGGATTCCAGCAGAGGTATCCAGAGAATCAGCTGGGCTCCAAACCCCCCTCTGGGCTAGAAGATGGGCACCAGGAATTCAGGTTACAGAGTAGATAAGGGAGGAAAGGTGAACCCTGCCCTAGACTGCCCCAGCAGGTTTCTTCTGCATATGAATTTTGTCACGACAGGACAAAAAGAAACCAAAGAAGGCTCTTCTAGGGTTGATTCTGATCTCCAGGGATTTCCTCTCAGTGGAAAACATTAAGTGAAACTTTCAAATGGGAAAAGATTTGTCTCTCAGGTCATGAAGGACTGGGAGGTATTTATTTGTTTTCACATCAGTCAAGCCTGATGAATCTGACCTGAAAGTGCAGAGAACTGGCAATAAAGTGTGAGGAGAACAAACACTGTGAGGATTCCTGACAGCTGGATATGGCCTTAGAGGAGCATGAAAGCACCAGCTCGATACCCTTCTTTAAAGGAGGGAGTGGGTCAGCCAGGCAGCCAGTTTAATAGGAATGGAATATAAAGTATCCCTTCTCTGAAAGGGATATTAAAGAACAAAATATTACACTCGGATGCAAAATGTAGCCAGAGAGAAAACACAGGAAGCTGCCTACAACTCCAGTTAAGTGCTCTGGAGAACTCAGCAGCATATGGTAGGTTTGGGGTGCTGTTCTTCTAATAAAACAAACTGAAGAGTAGCTAAAAAACAGAAAATATGAATGACCAAGGGCTCAAAAACAAGATCTGCATGAAAAGATTGCTGAATAGGTTCAGCGAGTAATCAAAGAGGGGTTGGTTCAGTCTTCAAATACAATTTGTTTCAGAAAGGAAAAAAATCCTCTCTTCCCACATCAGAGATGGGTAAGACAAGAAGCACTGAGGGGATTTTGTAGGAGGGAATATCTGTGTTCATAACTGTGTTCATAATCTCCAAACACTTTGAAAAGGAGAACAGAGATATAATTTACCTGAAGATGCTTCAAGCTGGAGAGGGACTTTTTACAAAGGCCTGGAGGGACAGGACAAGGGGGAATGGCTTCCCACTGTCAGAGGGCAGGGTTAGATGGGATATCGGGAAGGAATTCTTGTCTGGGAGGGTGGTGAGGGGCTGAGATGGAATTCCCAGAGAAGCTGTGGCTGCCCCTGGATCCCTGGAAGTGTCCAAGGCCAAGTTGGACAGAGTTTGGAGCAACCTGGGATAGTGGGAGGTGTCCTTGCCCATGGCAGGGGGAGGAGGATCTGGATGATAATTTATGTCCCTTCCAACCCAAACCATTCCATGACTTTGTGAAGTCGCTGCTTTTTGACATCCTAAAGGAGTTTTGTAGCAGGAGCTCAGCGATGACAAGTTGAGCTCTATCACAGCAGGGCAGGCAGAGGATGCTGCTCAAGGCGCCTCAGTGTGTGTGTCCCCCTTTCCCATTCCCTCCCACGACAGGAAGATTTGGGGAAATTCAGGGACACTCTCGCCCTCAATTCCCTGGAATATTCAGACTGTCCGTGTCCAGTATTTTCAACCACACTGCTCATCCCTCGCCCCGGCCCCGGGAACACCCCACACGCAACCCAGGCGTGTTTTAACGCGTTGAATTAAAACGTTAGCAACTTTCACACCCTCTGTTCTCATTTTGGTGCCCGCTGCGCTCGCCTGTTTTTAAAACTCTTTCCTGACACGCCCCTTTTTATGCGCCGGAGGTGACAAAAGTCCCCGTGGAGGGAGGAAAGGCCCCCAAGATGGCGATGCTGGCGGAGCGTGAGTGGCGATCCCGGCGGGAATATCCCGGGAATGTCCCGGGAAAGGGGATGTGGAGCCTCCCCAGGCCTTCCCCACAGCCCTCGCTTGAGGGGCCAGGGCCGCGCTGCCCCTCCTGAGGGGAGCTGGGGGAAGGGGGGGGGGGTCGCGGGGCCGGATAAGGGGGTTCAGGGGGTCCCTAGTTTTAAAAAACAGCTGAGAAAGGCAGGAATGGGGGTCCGAGTGGTGCCGGTCTTAAGGAAAAGGAAGGTCTGGGGTGTGGGAAAGGCAGGAACGAGCGGGTAGGGGTCCCGTTGAGGTCTGGGAGACTCAGGGTGGCTGGGAATGGTGTTCAGGGGGTCCGTGGTGTTGAAAAAATGGGGGATCTGGGGGCTTGAAAAGGCAGGAATGGGGGTCAAGGGGGTCCCAGGGTCAGGGATATTAGAGATTGGGGTCTGGGAAAGGCAGGAAGAGGGGTCCAGGCGTTCTCAGTGTCAGGGAAAGGGAGACCTGGGGTCTGGGAGACCCGGCATGGCCAGGACAGGGGTCCAGGGGGTCTCCCATGTTGAAGAAAAGCACGTCGGGGGGCTGCAGAAGCCAAGAGTGGGGTCCAGGGTGTAGCATGGTGAAGGAAAAGGGGAGGTCTGGAGGCTGGGAAAGATGGGATAGGTGGGAAAGGGGTTTGCAGGGGGTTGTTGGTGTTGAATAAGGGGGGTAGGGGGGTCCTTTGTGGGGTCTGTAACACCCTGGGGATGCTGTGCCAGGGGAGGGTTAGGTTGGATTTTTAGGAACAAGTTCTTTCTGCAGAGGGTGGTTGGGCACTGAACAGGCTCCCCAGGGCAGTGGGCACAGCCCCAAGGCTGCCAGAGCTAAAGGAGTGTTTGGACAACACTCTCAGGTATAGGGTGGGATTGTTGGGGTGTCTGTGCAGAGCCAGGTGGATGATCCTTGTGTGTCCCCTCCAACTCATCATATTCTATGATTTTATCAATTTTGTTTAACCTTTTCCTGATACTGGAAACAAACAGAGCTTCACTTTTGCCTCGGGGGTGATTTAGAACTTGGGCTCCCCATATCTTAAAGAGCAGATTAAAATATTGGATGAATATCCTGTCTTGTAGCTCCCAGGTATAGAGAGAAAGAAGAGAAAGATAACTCTGTCTCTGGAGTTCTCAGGGCTGGCCACAGTAGGAACTAAAAACTTCTACTACATTCCAAATAGTCTTTCCTATTAAATGTAAAACATTATATGAGTAAAAACACTAAATTAAACTGGATTTTTATGTAACAGAACTAATATTCTCATCCCTACCCCTGAGTATTGTTAGTATTCTTCGGTGCTTTCAGTAAACTTACTGCTGTCAAAACACCCTTAAAATGAGAGCACAGAGTCTGGTGAATTTGTTTGCTTGACTGCAGGAAATAGGGACTATAATGAGTAGTTAAAAATTATGGTTTCCAGTGGAAAATACAGGTGTGAAATAAGGAGAACAAAATTGCATCTACATATGTGATTTTCTGGTTATTTTAGATGTGAACTTTGGTGCCATTTTTTCAGGATTTTTTAATTATTTTAATTGGACACTGCACATGTCAGTAATCATAGAGTAATGTGGGGTGAAAGGGACATTTAAAACTCATCTCAATCCAACCCCTGCCATGGGCAGGGACACCTTCCACTAGCCCAGGTTGCTCCAAGCCCTGTCCAGCCTGGCCTTGAACACTTCCAGGGATCCAGGGGCATCCACAGCTTCTCTGGGCAACCTGTGCCAGGGCCTCACCACCCTCACAGGGAAGAATTCCTTTCCAGTATCCCATCTATCCCTGCCCTCTGGCACTGGGAAACCATTCTCTGTCCCTCCATCTCTTGTCTCAAGTCCCTCTCCAGCTCTCCTGGAGCCCCTTTGGGCTCTGGAAGAAGCTCCAAGGTCTCCCTGGATCCTTCTCTTCTCCAGGTGAACCCCCCCAGCTCTCCCAGCCTGGCTCCAGAGCTTTGTCTTTCCTGTCACCTCCGACCATCCATGGGCACACAGCAGGGGTTTGGATGGGAACTTTCAGAAATTATAGTTACAAACACGCCCCAGGCCCAGAATTAGTCTTGGTAAAAGGGTTTAATAATGGATCTTTTTCAAATTGTAGGATATCTGAGTGAAGAGGTTGAGTTGTCCAGCCCTGACCCAGCTGCCCAGAGCATTGATGGAATCCCCATCCCTGGAGGGATTTAAAAGCCCCATGGGTGTGGCACTTGGGGACATGATCAGCGTTGGCCTTGGTAGTGCTGGGGGAATGGTTGAACTCAATGATCTCAGAGGGCTTTTCCAACCTCAGTGAGTCTGTGATTCTATAAAGAAATGACAATTTTCTCCACTGGATGGTGCTGGTCGCCCAGAGTTGCATCACTTCACCAGCAGCCCAGAAGGTTGGTGTTAAATTATGAGCTGAATCTTTTAGCTGGAAGTTAAAGTGTGTGTCCTGCCTCGCTCATTAAACATCAGTGAACAAACATTTCTGATAAATTATTGATTAAACAGTGGGGTTTTTTGTTTGTTTGGAAAGGGAGGAGGATTTTATGGTTCCTGTAAGGTGGCATGGAGCTGTTTCCAACTTTCTTAAGTACTTCTCTAAAGGTGAAAGCAAGTTTGTTTATGCTTTTTTTTTTCCTGCATTTATCTTATCCTACTTAAAAATAAGAGTATGTCAACCTTGTAGAAGTGCGACGATTAATCCCACAGTGGTAGTTAAGAAATTTGAAATACATGGATTGCAAGTGCTCTTAATTTCAAGCTTAAGAAATATTTATGTCGGGTGCCCTGGTGCTTTTATTACAAATGTCTCAGGAGTAAAACATCTCAGGGGCTTCTGCACGGGGAGATATTCAGGAAAAATAATAGCAAGTAAATTTTAAAGGGAATTAGTTGGACTACCCTCAAACAACTCAATTTGGAAGTTAATTTAAATTCAACCATTCAGTTGTCGTGGATCACTTCACTGTGCAGACAAACCCTTAGGAAGATACAGTATTTTAACAGCTGTAGGAGTGGGATCTACAAAGTCACCACCCAGGGAACTGGTAACAGAGAGTGTAGAAGAGTATGGGCATCCTTATAAAATGTTGTTAAAATTTTAAAAAGGCGTTGAATAGTTTCTGGTGGCTGAGTTATGGAAAGTTGATGTTAATGGAGAGATTTTAGAGGTAGAGATGAAGAAATATGATTGAAAAGGAGGGCAGCTGCTCAGCTGGGCAGCATAACCTCTGGTAGAATCCTGGAATCAGAGTCATTAAGGTTGGAAAAGAGCTCTAAGATCACTGAGTCCAGCTGTTCTTCAGCACTGCCTGTGTCCCCAGGTGCCACATCCCCATGGCTTTTAGATCCCTCCAGGGATGGGGACTCCACCACTGCCCTGGGCAGCTGTGCCAGGGCTGGACAATCCTTTCCATGAAGATGTTTTTCCCCAATATCCAACCTGAACCTCCTCTGGCACAACTTGAGGCTGTTTCCTCTCATCCTGTCCCCTTGTTCCCTGGGAGCAGAGCCTGACTTCCCCCTCTCTCCTCCTCCTGTCAGGGAGTTGTGGAGAGGGAAAAGGTTCCCCCTGAGCCTCCTTTTCTCCAGGCTGAGCCTCTCCAGCTCCCTCAGCTGCTCCTGGTGCTCCAGCCCCTTCTCAGCTCCATTCCCTTCCCTGGACACGCTCCAGCCCCTCCATGTCTCTCTTATCTGAGGGACCCAGAACTGCCCCCAGCCCTGGAGGTGCCCCAGCAGTGCCAGCACAGGGACAGGCACTGCCCTGGTCCTGCTGCCACACCAGGGCTGGTCCAGGCCTATGGAATTGCTTCTTTTGTTGTTTCCCCACCTTTTGTTGGCAGCACAGCCAGGGCTTGGAGTAGATCCTGCTCTGAAGGCTGCCTGGTGGGAATAATCATGGAATACCAGAATGGTTTGGGTTGAAAGGACCTTAAAGATCATTTCATTCCAACCCCCTGCCATGGGCAGGGACACCTTCCACTACCCCAGGTTGCTCCAAGTCCCATCCAGGCTGGCCTTGGACACTTCCAGGGATGGAGCAGCCACAGCCTTTAAGGTTAATAAGTTGTTTCCTGTGGAGAAGTGAACCAAGCAAAGGCCTTGTCAACTCCTCTCACAGCTCTTGTTCATTTAATCTGCTGTAAAATCTTTTTATGGATCTTTTTGAGCTTCAAAGCTTCGGAAGTTTGTTAAAAAAAAAATCTCCCACTGGGCACCTGACAGTGCCGGTTCTTTCACAGCAAAACTAAACAGGGCAAAAAGTGAGTCAAACATCCCCGTAATATTCAGTCCCTCTGGCCCAGATCCCAAATCTGGTGTTTTAGGGAATGATGACTTCCTGATTACGTTGAAAACACCTCAGTGGGTTTGGTTTGGCTTCTCCCTCACTTTGTGTGGCCTTGGGTGAACGGGTCATTTTTGATCCCTCGTTTCCCATGGTGGTTAATGAAGTTTGTGATCTTCCTGTCTCCCATCCTTTGTTTGTCTTGTTTATTTAGCTTCTCTTCCTGCCTGTGCTTAGGTGCACACTTGAAGTGCCTTGTTAACGGGGGTTGGCTTTTCCTCCTTGATTTCCAGGAAGCTGTTCCTGGTGGGAGAGGCAAGAACACGCACGTGGGCCTGGGAGACTGGAGTTTCTTCAGGAATCTGCATAGGACAAGGGAACTTTGATTCTCCTTTGGATCTTTTAACTCCTGCAATAATTTCTGGTGGCTTTTCCCAATAAATTTCCCAATAAGTTTCCCCATTTTTGGCAAATCCAGAAGCTGAAATCCCACTAGTTTTGGTTCTGTCATCTCTGGGCATTTGTATTTCATTTTGGATTTATTTTTTGTTGTGAAGGCAAGTATTAATACTTTTGTGTTGTGGTTAAAAGGAAGACTGGATAATGAATCTTGTCCAGAGCTGGGGAAGCAACACTGTAATCACTCCCATCCCCCCAGACTTCCAAAAATTGGAGTAAATATGGAATTTAGGCCTGTACACTTACATGGTAATCCTTGAAGCCTTCCCTGAATTGCAGCTCATCCTTAGGGACAACAAATTCCAACTTTGGGGGTTAGAACTAGATGATCTTCAAGGTCCTCTTCCAACTCAGGTTGTATGATATCAATTTTCCTCTGGCATTCTTCACGTTAATAACATAAAGAATTTCTTTTTGCTTATTGTTGGGTTTTCTGTTAAGTAAAATTAACCCCCCAAATATATTCAGCCTGGAGTAAGTTCTGGGGTGGTTTTTTTGGCAATGAGGAGCTGTAGCTGAACTGATTCTATACCAGGAATACCGTGGGAATGTCAGTAGAGCCTGTTTGAATTTTTCCTCCCTGTCCCAGCCCGGAGAAAGCAGAAGTGGTCCGTGGATCCACGAAACAGCGCTTGGAGTAAAGATGACTCTAAATTCGGCCAGAAGATGCTGGAAAAGATGGGCTGGTCCAAAGGAAAGGTAGGATCCGAAGGAGGGTTCTGTATCTGAAGGGTCTAGAGCTGCCAGGGAGCTCTGATTTGTTCTCTTAAGCGCACAGAGAATTTGAGCAATGTTGGATTTCTGCGCTTTGGTGCAAAGTTTGTGACTCTACTGCCTTCTGGTTTTTCTCCCTTCTTTGGCAAGTTAATGTCCCCAAAGAGGAGCAAGAGTTGGCACGTTAAATTAGGTGATGGTTAAAGTCTTTTAAGTTGCTTTTATACTCAGTTTTCTCCCTGCTTTTGATTTGAAGCAGCTCCAGGACCTGCTTTAATCTTTCACCTGTTTTTAAGTGTCGCTTCTGATCTGTTCCTTGAACCCCCAAAAGGCAGCGTTCTGGGAGCTGAATCCCTTCCCGGCTCCAGCCAGTACCTGTGGGTTAGGACACTAGTTTCTGGCACTAAGAATAACCTGTGGGTTATCCTGCAAACTCCTCAGCTGCCTCTTAAAACCATTTTTAATTCCACAGAGATGCCTCAGCAAAGCTGAGATTTGGGCCTGCACATCAACGTGTTTAGTGCTAAGAATGCACACAAACCCCCCCACTACCTTTATTTAATTCTCCCTCCTGTTATTTCTTCTCCCAGACTTTCTTTAACAGGAATAAAATTAGGATTTTATTCTAATGAAATCTCCCTTCTGTGAATGCTTTAAAGCCTGTTCTTGCATTTCTCAGTGTAGCTGCTCAGTTTCTCAGTTGCCTCACAACAAGCTTCCCACTGGAGCTGCTGGATCTTCCTTTCCAACAGTTACAGCTGTACAAGAAGGATTTCTCTCTCCATTCCACTAAAAACTCAAACAAATGGAACCTCACCTCGATAAAATTAATGGTCAAAAGCCCATCTCTGCAGTGAAATGAAGCTGCTTACACTAGTCCTGTTATCAGTTGTATTGGAATTGGGTCAGGGCAGGATGTGTGGCTGAGTGGCCTGTTTGCTTCCACACGTTTTTTTTTGGTTAGCAGGAGTTTCAAGGGAAATTTTCCACCCCAGGGACCAAATGAATTCAAGTGGATTTGTAATAGCAACAACCTTTTTCCAATATGCCTCGTTCCTCCAAATGTTAGATATCCCAGGACCTCTCCACAGGGCTTTTCCCCACTGCTGCACCACATCCATGTTTATTAAAGCCAACACACTTGGCTGGTGATTGGTTACTGGTGACAAATTAGGCAGAAAGCAGGTGAATACCAGGAATAAAGTTATAAACCAGATGCTTTGTCTTCTGGTTTTTTTTAACCCTCATCATACAGTTAAGAAAGATAACACTGGACCTGAGAATTGCTCCCCAGGTTTGAGTGATTGTGGGTTTTAGGGTGGAGAAACCCCATAGTTGTTTGCTCCAATATTTCCATCAAATGACGAGTGTGAATGAGGTGGGAGAAGTTGTTAATGCCCTGATTCTCCCCTGCCCCTCCCCTGATTCCCTCCCATGTAGATTTATTCTGGATTATGCTTTCCATGTGGATCTGCCTTCGCAGTGACAGGTATTTTGGGGGAGAGGCCTCTTCTTTATATGTAAAGTCATGTTTTAAAACTGTAAACACTCTGGGCTTGCTTAGGAATGTCAGGTGACTTCCTGATTAATCACCCAACTGCTTAATGTTGTTGCTATTTTAGTGTTTATAATACTTCGCTGGAGGCTTAAGTAGTAAATTTTAAAAACTGAGTGTCTCATGTGTGCTAAAGCCTGTGAATGAATTCAGTTCAGGCAGGAAAACAAATAGCAAGTTGTGATTTCTTGCTGTATTTCTTTGCAAAGTCTTAGAGTACAAAATCTCTGCTCAGTCACTGCTGTGAAATCCTTACTTTTTACCTTTAAATCCTCCTCAGGGTCTTGGGGCTCAGGAACAAGGAAATCCAGAACACATCAGGGTGAAGGTGAAAAACAACACTCTGGGATTGGGAGCAAACATCAACCACGAGGTGAGAACTAGGCCCAGGTGAGGGAATGGCTCCCATTTCGGCTAAAACACAAATTTTTAAACGGGATGTTAATGAAACCTGTTGTCACATCTGCTGGTAGAATGTACCAAACAGGATTGTTTATGACCTACGAACACAACCCTTATAATTTTATCTCACTTTGGAGTGACTGTGTGAGCTGTTGGTGGTGTTATCTGCCTGTGGAGCTTCCAAGGTCCCTCCCACCAAGATGGATTGAATATACCCAATTAAGTTATTCCCTAATACCTGTTTTAGCAGAATTTGTGTTAGTTCTGAAGACTTTTGCCTTGTATTCATGTGGGTGATGTTCACAGGACAACTGGATTGCTCATCAGGATGACTTCAACCAGCTCCTGGCTGAACTGAATTATTGCCATGGACAGGGTGAAACAGGTAGGCCCATCCTTTGCTCAGTCAGATGCTGGAAGCTTAGTAGTTTCCATTCTGTGTTCTAAAAGATGAGCTGAGGCCCAGTTTGGGCTCCTTGCTGAGGTTGACAACTCCTCCTCCTCCCCCAAAATCGTTGGGAGCCAAAGGATGTGTTGCCATCCGTGACCGTGCTGAAGTTTCTCTGCCTGGATATGCAGATATCTCAGTGGATCAGTTTTACTCTCAGGACTCAAATAAAGGCTTTTTGTTGAGGAAAGAAAACATAAAATGTTAAACTCGTTTATTTTATCTAGGATCATGATATTTGGGACCTTTTCCTGGGCTGTACTACAGCAGCACTTGTTTCTTTATCCAGAGTCTGTCTGAAGGCTCACAACAATCACTCACAATTGCAATGATTTGCCTTCCTTTTAACAATGAATTGTCACTCCTGGCTTCCATGTTCCACTGGTTTCTTAAATACCTACTTTTCCTGTCCTTGGAGAGTTGCACCATAGCTTCTGATTCAGAGTTATGCATCTCTGTTTTGAGTGTGCTGTAATGTGATTTTTGTAGCCCTGGTGTTGAGCACACAAGTGAGGAAACCACAACTTTCCCAAAAAGGCTATTTATAAAGTCTTTTTTTTTGAAAAGCTTCGTACAGCCTGACCTTGGGTTGTAAAAATGAAGTTGTGGTGGGTGTGAGCTTACAGAAAGAATTGGTTTATCACCTCTCCTTTAGTTAGACTCAGGTTTAAGTCATTATACATCTAAACAACTCTCTGGAACTAAGTGAATTTAGCAACTTTTCATTCATTCGTTCATTCTTAATCTTTGAGCACTGAAGGTTTTCTAGGAGAGGAAATGCAGAAAGGTGAGGGTGGAAAATCAGTTAGCAAGAAGGTTTTCTAATCTTAGGCAGCTGGGAATAAAATTTTGGACGTCATACTTTAAAAACACCTTTTTTTTTTTTAATTGCTGTGTAAGTTCTCCTAGTGCCCTGAAGCCCTGATCGTGGGCTGAGGCCACACAGCACTCGGTGCTGTCCTTCAAGTCCTCGAGAGGTAGAAGAGCATATCACAGGGAAATTCCAAAATTTCCTTTCTGCCTCTATAACTAAATCCTACCCAAGTTCCAACTTGAGCCATGGGAAGATGAGGAAGGTGCAGCTGGTGGGAAAACCTGCAAAGTGCTGGGCAGAGAGTTGAAGTGACATGCCCAGGGACACAGTGAGTCAGCACAGAGGCAGGTTCATTGAGCAAGGCCGTCTCGTTCCTAAGGCTGGGCAGTGTTCCCTGGGTCACTGATGCAAAATGTTCCATAAAAGCTGTATTTCTCCCTGCTTTACTCAGTTATTTTAAATTTTCCATCACCAAGAACAAATTTGGGTGCACATTGAAAATTCCTGGTCACAGTCCCCTTGGGTGATTTACAGAAAACACAAAGCTCTAAGACTTGGGTTTTTGGCAGTTTGCTTAAGCTGGCAAAACTCATCCAGCAAACTCTGCCTGCAGCTGTGCTGCAGGATCAAATGTTACATTATTGGCCATCAGCCAGTCTCAAACTGCATTAAAAGTCAGCTGAAAAACTTCATTGTTCTTAAAGAGCTGCTGTAGTTGCCAGAGCTGGGTTGCAATTAGAGGTCGGAAGGGAAAGGCCCTGTGGGGTTTGATTTGCCAACATTCAAATACCCTCAGTGTAGTTTTACCTTTCTTTTCCTTGTTTCTAGGTGAGCACCCAGTGAGGGCAGGTTTAATTAGATTAGATGTTAGGAAGAAATTATTTATTGTGAGGATGGTGAGGCCCTGGCACAGGTTACCCAGAGAAGCTGTGGCTGCCCCATCCCTGGAAGTGTCCAAGGCCAGGTTGGACAGGGCTTGGAGCAACATGGGACAGTGGAACAGGGTTGGAACTACATGGTCTTTCCCACCCAAACCATCCTATGATTCCTGGCTCTGTTTCTGGGACACTCAGTTATGAAATCTGTGTCCCTTTCCCATTCTTAAGATGCAGAAACAACATCCCTGGCTGTGCCTGTGACATGCCTTGGAATATCCATCTACAGAAATAACGTGTGACTTTCTTGCTTGGACTAAATGGCTTTAAAAAGCACATTAATATTCCTGCAGCGCTCACTCAGTTTGTCTGAGGATGTTTTTCCAGTCCCTGGAAGACACAGGGATGCACCTCCCTGCCCGTTGCAAGTGCCAGCACGTTTGAGGAGTGAAATTCCTCCCTGGAGGCACAAGGCGGTGCTGCTGCGCCTTTCCCTGGAAGAATAATGTGGGAAGGGAAGTGCTGTGAGAACCCTTTGCTGTGTAATCATCCTTCTGGTACGAGTGGCTCAGAGAACACACTTGAAGTGTCGTCTCTCTGCTCAGCATATTTAAGTTGTGATGCTTGTTTTCCCCACAGAACGTTTTTATTGAGGACTTTCTGTTAAAAACTGGGTTTGCCTGGTCCGTCCTCATCCCATTAGGGCTTAGTGTGGAAGTGGGAGGGTGGATCTCAGCCTTTTGGCACTCAGCTCTCCCACTGCAGGCTGAGGATTTCAGGTTTAGGTCAGTGCTTCCATCATCAGGTGGCACTACCTATCAAACAGGGAAGTGCTGGAATTCCAGTGTCAGGAAAGCTTGGGCTGCAAAGGTTTCCAGGGTGGGATCACATAAAAAAGGTGACTCAACTTGGCCCTCAGGGTATGGGTTCATTTCCTCACCCATTCCCAGTTGCCACTGGGAGGGAAAAAACATCTCACCACAGTAACCTTTCCATGGAGTTACGGAGCAGAGAATCCCGTGGTGTCAATTTTCAGGACACAACTAATAAAGTACTCATTAACTGTACAGCAGGTTAATTCTCTCCTTCTGAGGGGGAATTAACAGGCTCTGTGAGTGCAAAGAGATGGTTTGTACCCCTAAAATAACCTGCCACAGCTCAGGAACGTGATGTCTCTACTGTTAAATAATGGGACTAATCCTTCATGTGGCTTTAAGCTGCTGCCAATCTCCCAAACTTCTGAGTGAATTTGGGACTCAGCCAAGCCCAGAGGCCATTCCCAGTGGACAGTTTAGATGCAATCCCTGTCCTGGAAACTAGGAAAGTGAAATAATATGGATGTGGCAATTTGTTCTAGCTGGCCTGAGGGACAGAAAAGCTTTGCCACCATTCAGTTTCCTTAAACAGATGGATCAGCTTATGTCCAAATAAAGGTATTTTGTGTAGGGTTAGAAGTGGAAATCCTATAATTTTTTCCCCCCTTTTTCTACCCAGACAGGTTCAGTATTTTATTTTGCACTATTTCTTACATCTTTCTCAGACTTTGGCACTGGGGATATTTTGTAACAAACAGCACAATAAACCCTGACCTGTTATTGTTTGCTTGCCACAGAGATGGATCTGCCTTAGACCTGGAGTGTCTGTATCTGCCTTTTCAAATTACATTGGATTGGAAAGGGATGTGGCAAAAAAAAATCAAGCAGTGACACATCTCAGACAAAACTTGCCATGCTTCCTTCAGTGATATATTGTGATATATTGTTGAGACTGGGTTTTGAGAGGGAAAGTTAAATACACTGATGCTTGAATGTGATGGTCGAAGTGCCTCCAGCAGGGTTGCAACCTGTTTCCTTGGATTTTTTTTTTTAGAGCCCTCAGTGAAAAATCAGAAAAAGACATTCAGCCTCGAAGAAAAATCCAAATCTTCCAAGAAACGTGTCCATTATATGAAGTTTGCCAAAGGTAAGAGGGGTTTTGTTGTTTCATAAGCTCTGGCCGAGGTTAGAACAAACCCTGCCAGGGTGATCTGTTGCCTTCTGAAGTCTAAATTTGGCAAGTTAAATCTTGGTTTAGGAATACCCCCTGCAGCAGCTTGCTTAGAGCTATAATGTGCTGTCCCTCTTTATTTTGGGTCGTTTTGGATGGCTTTAGGCTGACTTGTTGAATAAAACAGTTCCTACCTGAAGGAGCCACCAGCTGGATAAAGGAACCGTGAATATTCCAAGCTGTGGGTGCGTGAGCAGGGGATGGGAGGGTGGAAACATGATGATGGAGTGACTTATGACTTAAGATCTGCGTGGCACTATCCCCTGAGATCTCCAGTAACCCCGCTAAGAGATCATGAGGATGGGATCAGGGATCAGATTAAACCTGAAGGAAGGCAGGAAAGCCCGCTTACGTCCACCAGATACTTTATGGGATAAATTAGGACAGTGGTCAGTGGCCAGAAAAACTATCAAAAACTCACGGAGTTCAGTCATTTCTTCCTTCCTTAGAGCAATTACATTATTTCAGTCGTCCCTGGGTTTGGCTCCTGGCAGTTCTGGAATCCTCTCTCTGTTCCTCTGTTCCCCTTTCACACACCCACATGCACATGGTGTGTGTACCTGTTTCAGGGTATGGATGGGATCAGATCCACTAATGGCTGATTTATTAAACTGAAAGCTCTGTGCAGTGTTTCCTGACAGCAAGTGCCTCTGCTGAAACAGAGCTAGTTGATGTGTGAATGGAGGCCAGATTTTTTTGTACTGGGGTTTGGGATTTTTGATTAAACAAATTGGCCTCGGAGTCAAACCTGTTAACACGACCCTGCCACTTTATGACATTAAACAATTAAATTGGTGCAGGGCTTGCAAGTGCAAAGGCCATGGCCTGTTTGAGGGAGTGGCAAAGAAAGAGGATTTATTTTGATTTGGATTTAACCTTTTGCTAAATATAGAGGAAAAAAAGAAGTGTCTTTTGAGCATGTAAAATACAGATCAAGGCTTTCATATTCACAATATCCCTTATTTGTTTGGTCGTGTTTCCACAAGGCCGCCCCTTGTTTGCTTGCACCCTCTGTGGTCTAAACCAGGGAAATTGTCCTTTTTGCAGGGAAGGAGGAAAAGTTATTTGGGAAGGGCTGGTGTTGTTGTGGCCCTTGTTGTTCAAGCCTGATCCTGCTTCCTTTCAGACTAAACAAGACAAGCTCACACAAAAGCTGGAGAAGGGAACAGCGACGACACAAAATGCAGCTTCCGTCTGCGGGGGCTGGAGAGACCCAGGGAACACACACAGCCCTTGGATCTGGGAATACACACCAATCTGAGATTAAAACACTGAGTGCAGCTGCTCTTCTAGCAGCTCTTCCACTGGGATGCTGCAGGAGGTTATGGATGTCAGCTGAGTTGGTTTTCTGTTAGAGGAGAAGGGGCAGGCACGGACAGAAAGTGTAGGGTAAGAGGAGGAGCAGGAGGATTTGAAGTGTCATTTTCCAAACCTTGGCCAAGATAAAACTGAAAGCAACCACCAGTCTCATCCAGCTTGCTTGGGTAAGGACATTTAGAGGCTGTGCAGTGAGGCACCAGGAAGCTTGGTCACACTTTCTCCTCTAGGTTGAGGTGTGTGTTTGCCCTCTGTGGGCAGTTCAGGATCTCGAAGAAAAGAAACAGGTTAAATAGTCAGATTTTGGGTTGTTTGGAGTATTTTGTCCACTACAAGATTCATTTTGAGGTCAGTGATTTTGGAATCAGAAAATCAAGTGATTAAGACCCCGGCAGACTCCTAAGGAGTTGATCTGTCTGGACTAATTTTGTTTAAATCTTTAACTTTTCCTGAGCTTTTTTTAAAAGGATTTTCTGAGAGAAGCTGTGGACAACCCAATATAAAGGTTCTTGCACTGTGGAATTGGCAAAACTTTTGCTTGAAACTCAAAATATCACATCACACCCTTCGGCTTCCCCCTCCCTGCTCCATGTCAGATATCCAGTTAGCCACACAACAACCAGATGGGAATAATGGTCCTGCTGGGAATCTTTGCTTCACCCTTGAAATTGTTTTGAGTTGGGATAATCCAGTGTGTCACAGAGATGGAGGTTTTGCTTTCAGAAGCAACATCATGAATCAAAGGAAAGTCCCCATGGAGTAAAGATGGATTTTTTTTTCATTGTATAGAGGAGCTACCACTCCCCAATTCTGTCAGAGACTGGGAATCCTCCTGAGAATCCAGAGATCCCACACATACACACATTTCCTCATAAGTACCTTCATTTACTGTCTTCATCACAGGATCACAGAATGGTTTGGGTTGCAAGGACCTTAATGATCATTAGTTCCAACCCTCTACCATGGGCAGGGACACCTTCCACTAGACCAGGTTGTTCCAAGCCCTATCCAGCCTGGAGTCCCTGATTTTTGTTCACCTCCAAAACCAATTCCTCTATCTCTGCAGGTTAGTTTGTGTTATCAAAATGTTGTGTTTTTTTTCCTCTCTTTTCCCCTGCCAGGTAAGGACCTCTCATCCTGCAGTGAACATGATCTGTCCTGCATCTTTGGTAGGAGACAGAAGAGTGGGAAGACACAGGTAAACAAGAAGCTTCACTGTTCTCGTTTCCTTGCTTATTATCCCTTATAACAAAACAATGTTTAAATGTTTTGCTGCTAATATGTTGTTTCTATTAGAAAGGCTATGGTTGAAATGTGAGGAAATAATAATGAATTTAATCCACATTTTGTGAATTATTGTGATGTAACTTCTTTGGAGTTAAGCAACTCCAGTATTTTAATTTTACAGTTGTTAGGAAGTGTATATCACCAAGGAGAATTTTGCTTCATCTGAGAGGTCAAAGGTTGGACTCGATGATCTGAGAGGTCTTTTCCAACCTAAATGGTTCTGTGAAAGACCCATAAATATCCAAAATAAAATTGGATATTCCGTGGCAACTGGGCAATCTCAACAAACAGCCCTTAATTCTCACAAAAATTGGGAAAGGCTGAGCAGCTGCAAAGGATTCAAAGGTGGCTTGAACACTGATAAATATTTAATGAGGAGACCTTTCCCCTGACTTTGTGTAATGAGAGCAAGGTTTGTACTGGCTTTTATTTTATTTTATTTTATTTATGTGTCCATTAGCATTTTGCACTTGCAGAGAACAGACCTCCTGTATTAGTGTGTAAAATAACAGACACTGACACATGAAAAATCCAGAAAAATTCCCCAGACAAAATAACACCTGGAAAAGCACAAATGAACATGTTGCAAGAATTGGTTCCAAGTCATCTGAAATCTCTTGATTAGAGGGGAAGAAGGGACTTGAAGTTGAGTGGAAGTTTCTAGAATGCCCAGTATGTGTTTGACACCTTGCTCCTCGTGCAGTACTCTTGGAAATTGTTCAGGAACTTCACATCATGGCCTCTGGGAGCTTTGGGAGGAGAGGAATAAGGGGAGAATGTGCTGAGAGATCTGGGATAGTAGTGGAAATAATGAAAGGTTTTTTACCTGTAGAATGACAGGGGAGCTGGTGAGGAAGGAATAGTGATCCAGCTGGGGATTCTTCCCTGGAAAACCCTCTGTAAAATAAAGAATATTTCTGTGGTATATCTTCACTTGAACAGTTTGAAGGATTTGTGCCATTATCACGTCCAGTGTTGTAATTCCAGTGAATCTGCTGTAGATTTTGAAGTGGTTGGTAAGTTTGTTGGTGACAGAGGAAGATGTCAAGTCTGTTCCTGAGTTCTCTGTAAAATACACTGACAGCTAATTAAACCAGGAGGCTGGAAGAAAGTTAAACAAACTAAGAACTGCCCTGTCTTGTCTGCCACTGCAAAAAACAGTGGGAACCTTTGTTACAAGTCACGTGGTTTGGAAAGGTAAGAGCTTGGGACCAATCCATCAGCCACCACAGGACCCATCTTAGCTGATTGCTGTCTTGAAATAGGAATTTGGGGGCTTCAAATCCCTGAGATTTGAAGAGCTGTTGGAGCTCTCAAATGCCGTGGGTGAACTTGCACCAAGGGGAGCCCTGCTGGTTGACACTTCTGATCCCCTAAATAGGGCATGGATTTGCTGCTTGGCTCCTTTGCTGTCAGAGCAATGTGAAGCAGGACAGTCTGGGATTTAAAGCAACCCAGCAGTGCTGGGGTTAAGGGAGTGGGTTTTGCCAACCCCTGAGTTGTCCTGAATTGCTGGTCTTGTTTTCTCCGTATGTTCCGTACCTGTTGAAACTCAGGTTTGGGAAGTGCTTCTGCTGGGGCTTCATCCTGGAGAACATCTGCTTTTTGATGGATAGACACTGCAGGTCATGTGGATTCTAGGCTGCTTGTGAAGGGTGTATAACTCTGTGCATGTTTTTTCTAATCCCAGTGGTTGGCTGGTGGCTCCTGTGCAGATTTCCTTTTTCCCCTCGCTGAAATGGTTCGAGGTTCTGGCAAAAAGAGTCATGGGCTGTTCCCTCCTGAGCACCCAGATTTCCACATGCAAATCCAGGCAGGAGGTAATGTCATTTGGAGCTGCATTGTCATCCTCTGGCTACTGTCTGCTGCTGAGCAGCCACAGGGAGGGACAGCCAGAGGAAGCACAATTGCTTCCCCCAGCCCCCCCTTCTCCTTTTCTTCATGGATCAGAGATCTGTGGAGTTTGCACACAACAAAAAATGCACTGCTCAGGCCCTCCAGCTCTGAGCAATTTCATTTCACTGCACCCATGAACTCTCATGATCCCTTTCCATCATGTTCCAGAGCCTGGTCCTTAAGGTGGCACAAATGGAACTGTGAGGATTTGCAGGAGTTCTCTGTTTGCTTTCTGGTTTGAAATCCCTGAGCTCTGGGCACTTCCCTGGTGTGGCAGAGAGCTCACTACAGGAGCAGGAAAGTGCTGTCCTCCTGGAAGTGAGTTGTTCCTATGTGTTCCTGTGTGCAGATAATGTAGGAAGAGTCCTGGTGTCCAGCAGAGCCCTGGGTAGGGCCTACAGGAAAGATGGAAAGAGACTGTTTACAAGGGCCTGGAGGGACAGGACATGGGGAATGGTTTCCCACTGCCAGAGGGCAGGGTTAGATGGGATATTGGGAAGGAATTCTTCCCTGTGAGGGTGGGGAGGCCCTGGCACAGGTTGCCCAGAGAAGCTGTGGCTACCCCTGGATCCCTGGAATTGTCCAAGGCCAGGTTGGACGGGGCTTGGAGCAACCTGGGATAGTGGAAGGTGCCCCTGCCCATGGCAGGGGGTTGGAATGAGATGAGCTCTAAGGTCCCTTCTATCCCAAACCATTCTGTGATTCTATAGCTTGAAGTCCTGTCGTTAAGGCTGTTTCCAAGGTATCAGATCCCTCCTCTTTGTTCAGAGGTGCACTTTGAGAAGCCTCCAGCACAGGTTTGATTTGGACTGAGTGACCAATCCTCAGCTCACACCAGAGTTGTCATTCCACTCTTGATCTTTTGACAAAGATGTTCAGCATAATCCTTTTTCCCACATTTCTAGTTGTTTCAATCCAGGATCAGAATAATCTTGGGTGTAACTTCATGGAAAGATGCAGGAACTGCTTTTCACAGTGATGGAAACGCTGAGGTTGGAGGAGTCCTGGAGGTTTCTGGATCAGTCACTCTGCTCAAAGCACGGCCAGCTCTGGCAAGTCTGAATGCAGGAGTTTGTCCAGCTGAGTTTTGACTGTCAGCCTTCCTTAAAGCCTCCAGTTTAAGCCTGTGACAAAATTCAGTGGATGGATGGAAGAGATCCCTTTAAGGAGCAGAAGATCATGGAATCATTAAGGTTGGAAAAGGCCTTTAAGATCCTGGAGTCCAAATGTCAGCCAGCACCACCACCATGTTCATCACGAAACCATGTCCATATCCACACTTTTATGAACATTTCCAGGGATGGTGACTCCACTGCTTCCCTGAGCAGCCTGTGACAGTGCTTGACAACCCTTTCCACAAAGAAATTGTTCCCAATATCCGATCTAAACCACCCCAATGCCATCCTAAGTCTGGCCGGTCGGTTGGATCATACCAGACTCGAAGATAAGGAAAAAGGAAGGAAAAAAGCAAAACCCAGGGAATTCCATCTGTGCTTATGGTCAAAGGGAAATTAGTGGAAGGACTCAAGGCTCAGTGACACGATCTCTGCACCAGCAAGATAATCTGGCTCTTCTGAAGTGCTTGTCAAAAACAGTCACCTCTGAACTGGTGCTGTGGTAAAGTGTCCCAGCACATCAGATGTGTCACAAAGCCACTGTTCCAATTAGCCCTGCCCAGTCTTTTCCAGTGTGGTCATTAGCTATCATTTTATGATCTCGACCTGTGGAGTAGCCTTTGGCAGGAGATGGTTTGTATGAGCTTAATCTGAGCTGCTTTAACTGTAGAGCTGATCTCAGGCTCAGGTTTTCACTCAGTGGCCGAGGAGTGATCTGGGTGATGGATCCTTTGTCTTGTTTCACACCAGCACTGCTGCAGTAAGTGGGGAATGTTGAAACTTGGATTATCTGCCTTATCAAAGGAAGAGGGAGTTGGCTGGAGGATTGTAAAGATTGCAAAAGAGTGGAATTGCAAAGGATGTGGAAGGAAATGCTGTTTGCCCCTGAGGGTCAAAAGGAGTTTCTCTAGAAGTAATAAAACCAAGATACAAGTTGAAGCTGTTGTTTTAATGGTTCTAGGATATGTGTTACTAATCAGAGGCACTTGCAGCCCTTAATTCTGAATGTCAAACACAGCAGTGCGCTTTTTTAAAATTATTTTTGATAAATCATGTGCCCAACTCAAACCTCCTTAATAAACTACACAGGGACCTTTGTTTAAAAAAAAAAAAAAAAAAAAAAGAAAATAAGTCAAAAAAACGAGGGGGGAAGAAAACAATGGCTGGGCTTCAGAGTGGACCTAAATTGAAAACGTCTGCAGTTTTTCCCAGGGAGAGCAGCAAGTGATCGAAAATATTGAATTGTAATTATGATGCTCTCTGGAGACCTGCAGAGAGGACATGTTTTGCAGGGTAGGATCTTACCAGACTGTTTTTTGCCTCCCCCCACTCTCCCTCTGATTTTTCTCACTCACTCAGGAACACTGGGAGCTGGGGAGACAGAAAAACAAATTCCAATAGTTCCTATCTGGTTGAACTTCCTGGAACCCCCACTATTTTTTTTTTTTTTTTTTTTTTGCTTCTCAGAATTTCCTTCCTCCATCCAGCTGTGTTTCCTGATGGAGCCTTATCACTGGAGAAAATGCTCCTGAGTGAGGCTGAGGATTTGGGAATGAGTTACAGACGGTCCCAACTTGGTTGCTGAACAACATGAATCTGGCACTGATTTCGCTCTGGGGGCTGGGGGAAGCAGCTCTGATTTGCTCCAACTCCGTTTGAGGGTGCGTAAAAACCTGAATGTTTTGCATCCACCTCACATCCATGTCTCAGGCCATTCCATGAGTAATCTGCTTCCTCCAAATTTGTGGAACTTGGATGTAAAACCTGCGTAAGTTCCCTTAAGCCACCGAGTCCAAGTAGCCCGAAAGTCTCGAGTTTGCAGTGATCTCTTCCTTGTTAGTCATTAAAAAGTGGAGTGATCCACCCCTTTGCTTTTTCACTTTTTTTTTTTTTTTTTTTT